CATCTCGGTTAAAATTGTGGGATTTAGTCTTAAATTATAAATGCCCAAACAAATGTGTTTTTTACTGTTTTTATGGCTTTATTTGTGATTTTCATGCATTCCCTTCGGTGAAATCTTCCAAAATTTTTACATCACATCGCTTTCAGCGGGATACGAATTTTAAACACGAAGAAAGTAGGGTTTGTAAAGGCAGTTCTTTCAATATTTTCAAATTTATGTCTTTTACCGCTGCAAAAAGTCTGGTCTTATGGATTTCCCTGAAAAACGAGCTCCGACTAAAGTAAAATATTTACTACCAATCTGCCAAATTTTACGGAATTTCACGGAAGGAAACGCGAGAAATTTCATTGTCAGTTTTGCTTTTTGTGCTCATGTTGACTTAACAAAATATCGAAAAACACTGACGTTTTCCTTTGAGCGCGCGCAGATTACTTCCTCAGCGCTCGCGTAATCGTAAAACTATAGGGAGCCACCTTAACTGGCAAATTTCCTCAAAAAATGCTGGTTTTTTTTACCGTTAACTCGGTTTTTTTTTGGCTGCCACGACCCTGAATTGGCCTCAACTTTGTTGAAAAAGAGATTTCTTACCGAGGAGCAAGATTTCCCTGAGTATTAGGCACCAAAATGTACAATGTTTTACTTTGGACCATGCGCATAAGTCAAAAATTGGACATTTTTTTTGCTGGCCTGATTCGATTTTTTGTTCTTGGCCTTTTCCTTTTCTTTTTCTCGCCCCTTTGCTGAACTCTCACTAGCTCTTGCCCTCCATTTCCTTTCTGACAGCCTTAAAAAGCTCTGTGTTGATTATCTTTAAAGCCTGGAAATGGAACCTTGATCGAAATTAGGTGTGATGGGCCATTTTACCACCAGATTTTGCACCAAAAACTGCTCACGTTTTTTTCAATTAGCTACGTCAGAATGCGGTTGATTTCCAAAACGGACAATTGTGTGGATAGATCTATCCTAGCTCTATTATCTACTTATCAAGAATATCTATTGACGCCTAAATTGATGGCATCACAAGTGGTACAAAGAAAGCGCATAACCCCTCAATCGTAAGAAAACGTCCGACTGCCACTAAAAGGGTTAAAAGAGCATAATGTAGCATAACTTGGTTAAACGAGCATAAATTTTAGCATAATTTGGCCAAAAGTAGTGAAGTGCTACAAGCATAATATAAATGCTACAAGGAGGGAGCGGTTTGAGGCCAATATTTACCCAACAGGCACACCTGTAAACTAGCTAAGCTTAGTGCTTGTATAGCTAAGTGCATGACCACTGTAAATAAGATTTACATTTTACATTAAAAATTGTGGATACCAACAAAAATTCATCTAATGCTGTAAAGAAGCTTGAATGGCGAGTTTACAAATATCCAAATCCGACTGTCTCTGTCTACGGCGTTCATGAAGGCTGTGCATGTCACGGTGTAAAGAGCAGAACTGAAGTCGGGACGATCTGCGTGTTTTATCTAATTGATTTTTTGAATACCTTTTAGGCAAAGGTGGAGATTTGACTTTATTCATGACCGGAAAGAAATCACGTCCTGGCACTGAACCTATATACAGTGGAGGGAACAGAAAAGACTTTCCGATTACCACTGGATATGACTCAGTTAAGTACGTAGATTTTATACGAAGCCATCTGTTCAATTCTGAAAATGTCCTTATCTGCCAAAATTTTCATGACGGATACTTCAGTGGATGTTTTGGTCCTTCGAAAAGGTGCAGTCCCATGCCCAACCTTTCCTGGGGAATTCGGAAAAACTACGACACCTTCATTAAATTTGTAAACGAAAAGTGGGAATGGAAAAATGGCAGGTCACTTAACATATACTCTCTTGCATGCGACGAGAATTTAGGATTCGGGGTATTTTTCATGGAAAATTATGGCACTGGTCAGTCGATTGTAACGAACTTACTTGATATAAGGAAGAAATGGGAAGATGGTTTTATGATCACTGCATGCGCCGCCCGGGGTTCAACATTTTATATCATCATGACCAAAGACCCAAATGAATACAAAGGGGAACAGACATGTTTTACTCGTATTTCACGCCAAGAGGCTAAGAATGAAATACAGAAGAATTATAAAGAGGGAAGAGTTATAACAGGGATATGTTACTCCACCGGACTAGGTCAGTATTTTGTGGTCATGACAGCAACACCACAAGGCCAGACCTATGGGTGGTTTAATAACAGGACTGCCAGATGTAACTGGGTGCAAGAGAAATATAAAGAGGGATTTCATCCTACCATTATCTTTGAGGATCCAACTGATAACAGCATCTTAATGGTGATGACTAAGGATGAAAATAGATCGAGCTACATATGTAAAATTAATTTTAAAGTGGCGTGACCAAAGGGCACGTCTTGCTAAGGGCGTGTTAGGGATAACAAAACATGCTCGTTCGACGTTTTATTTATCTTACAATGTATAGTCAAATTAGGTGGGACCTAGCAGGGTTTAATGCAATTTTAAATAACAGATCTAGTCAGCTCACCCAATATGCAAAATTAATTAAAAAAGTAGTTAAAAATGCTAGTCAAAACTAGTTATTACTACGTGCAGAAAGTCCATACCATTCATTTTAGGTTAGAATAATCAAATACATGGTTAAAAACTTTTGTTAGTACCGGCCAAGTTAGAAAGAAAAATCAAACAAAGAAAGCCAAAAGATCCTAACGATCAATTTCGTTTTAATTTTGTCATCTTCAGGTTTAAACTTGTTATTGCACTATTTTCAGAGTTCTGAACTTTATTGTAAAACATTTTCTACATTTTGTAAACCTAAAAATATCCACAGATGTGATCCTGTACACAAACAGTCAGATTTAGTAATGTTGCACCTTGATGGGATTGCAACCACAGCTGTAAATTAGCATAACAAAAGAGACATCAATAAAAAGGTTGTAACGTTTCACCAAAGAGACTCGATCGCTTCTCTGTAGTAAGTAAGAATCACTAATTACTCGGCAGAGGAAAACTTTCATAATCCACCCTTTTTTGTTCATCTTCGGAAAGGTATGTTTTCTCAACGAATTTGTGCCCAAGATCATGTATCGTGCAAGTTTTCGAGGCAGACCAACTAATACTTATGGCAAAACGATCTCTCATTGTTTTTCACGTAAAACGTTGGTTAAAGACTTCTGAACTAGTAACTTAAATAACGACCGGACATGCTCTCTGTTTGATCCTTCCGTCGGGTTTAAGGCTTTCAGCTAATTTGTCCTCAATTAATCAAACTCTGGAGATTCCACTCGGTCTAAACCCCGTTAGATCCAAGCGAAAAGCAAACTTAAATGGGGTGAAGACAATTATGGTTCACCAGTTGAACCGGGTGTTTTTAAGTTCCACTCCCAGCAGGCCAGAGGAACATCCTGATCACTTGGTTACCAAGTAACGAAAGGCTCAGCGCGAATAATTCTATTCGCAATGTTCGACTCGACTCGACTCAAAACAAAATAGAATGCGAAGAAAACAGTGAAAAGAAACGGTTGGATTATA